TAGGAAAATCTAATTCGGTAAATCCGTAAAATGATTAGAAAACTAAAACTTTTAAGGTTGCAAACATTTTTTCGCGAGAAATCTAACAAGTGACGCTATTTCGAGGAAAATCGACAAACGTTTCAAGAAAACAGAGACGACAGCAGAAAAGGAACTTAAGAGCTCTCCTTTCTGTTTCAATGAATACAGTGAACTTAAATTTGAGTTGCCAGAGAGGTCTCCCGGGTACCTGCCTCTTTTACCGAAGGATCTTCACTTCCATTCGATAAAATCGATAAGGACGAGCAGGAGAGAAACAGAGAGGACGGATTGTGGCTTGCGGCGCCTGCGGAGTTTACGAGGGTAGGAAGTGACCAATAGTAAATTCTGCTGCGTGATTCCGAAGCGAGGATTCCGTCTGCAGGAAGTGTGGCCACATATGAGCCGAAACGGCCCCTCTTGACCTACTGTCCACCGTTCTATCCCTCCGAAACCATTCCGTGACAAGTTTATCACCGACTCCGCTTATGACGAAAGATTCACGTCCAGTATTTCTTTATCTCCGTTGATATAAAATATGTGCTGTGTTGATGCTGAAATACGGAACGCCGTTTTATTCTTAAACTTTTAATCTCATTTAATTCTTCCATCAAATTAAACGTAGGATAATTTGATTAGAAATAACTTATAATCCAGCAAAACTTAATAATGGTGGTATTCTACAAAAAGTACAGCTGCTTTGTTTGAAGAGAACAGTATTTCATATGCATCAACTTAACAAAAGAGCTCTTTCGCAAGAGCATGAGAAAATTGTAGTGTATAGCGTGAGAATTTTTATGGAAATCTGAAGATTTTTATTCGTGTAGTTTCGTTTTACAATCCTTTCGAAAAAGAAGCCACGCACAGGGAATTAACGAACACACTGTGTAAAAGAAAATCTCCATCGCGGTAACAAGAGCCGACAAGCTAGCGCCAAAGTAAAACCCGACAGTTGCATGGCAAACAACAAACTACGTAGCTAGCTCGTAACGTCGAAAAAGTGAAGTGAAACTAGCGCGGGTGCACGTAGTCCAGAAGAGTAGCGAAGAAACTGCGCCAACGCTAAACTTTCCGAATAAAGGAAGACACGAGGTACGTACACCTGGAAAAGGACGGAATTGGCGAAACTATTCTCAGACGAAACTTCCGTGTATCATCTCAGGGAACTTAATCAAATAAACATATAAGTACACAATTACGTCTAGAGAAATTTGCCTTACTTCTAAAAAGATATATGAAGTTCGTCAAACGTGAATTGAAGTCAAATTGAACTGTGCTAAATCGTATAAAGCCAGACTGAATTGTTTCGGTTCGAGTTTATTATTGTTTCATTCTTTGATACTACAAAGTTGCGTAACAACACAGGAGATGTGAAAAACTTAACAGCTGAAGCGTAAAATTATTGAATGACTTTTATAGTTATTATTTTGCGTAATAACAACAAGAAAATATCTGATAGACAGATCTGTGATGGAATTTCGTTGCGAGGTGAAATTTGGAAAACGAAAACTGGACTACCGCGATGGTCGACCGCAGATACAAGGGGCTGTGCAATTGGACATTCCTGACTGCCACGGCCCGGAAATGGTCAATAGGAAGTTCTGGTACGTGCACTTGCGACTACGGGGCCTGTCCAGGAAACGTAGTTCGAGTGGGTTGAATCGAAACAGTTGAGCCGCGAATACATTGTGCACTGTGAATCCCTCTCGTTGTCCATTGATCAGTAGATAGGGTATTCATTCTAGCCAATTAACAACCGACGAAATGTTTTTAAATGTTTAACACGGACAAAACATAAATTCATGCTTGAACAAAACTTACCATTTTCAATTGGTTATAAAATAACTATAATTTTGTATATTATCTTTTCTATTCTGAGGAAACTGTTATAAAATGCAGTGTATTCAGTTAAACATTTATGCGATACGCTTTTATGTAAATAAGAAACATTTTCTTGAGAATAGAGAAAACAATAGTAACGGATACACGTTCAAACTCAATTTGTATGTAACTTTATATTTTATATGTATAAGTTAATAATATTATCTTTCAATCGATTCTCGAAAAATCGTAGAGAATTGTGGTTGCCATTCGCTTGTTTGATTCGACGAAAGCGAGTTTTTTTTTCAAGCGAGAAGGGAGGGAACTGAGTTAATGAAATTCCTATCGAAAACTGTTCCACGGATAACGTCGATTTTCGATAAATCTGTAATCTTTCAGTTGATGATCGACGTGATAGGCACATTAATTAATGCTTTATCCGCTTCCGATAATTTAATTAAATAGTAGATAGTATAATATAATATATTGATTATTTATTTTTATTGATTTACGATAACGATGTTTAATTAAACATTGTATTTATTGCTGAATATTGAATATTAAATGTATGAGAATTCTTCGTCAATTATATACAGTTTGTGGTCGTTCTCCTTCTTCCTTGTTTAATATTTGAAAGCAAACACTGAAAATCTCTGTATGCAATAACAGTAAAATACTAATAGCTGTTTCTAGCTCAAATAATGAAAGTTTGGGTAAATTGAAAATGGGTCATTGATAGGAGTGACAGGTTTAACGAAGGGATAAACAAGAGAAGTGTCCAATGGACTGGAAAAGAGAACGTTTACGTAACTCCCTAAAGAAGATGAAAACTGCAAGATGCGAGCCAAGAAGAAACAAGAAGAGCATGAGACACTTTTGTGTGAAGTGAAGAAAAATGGGGAAATATAGAACAAATATAAATCCAAGAAGACAAATCTCTTGAGACTCGTGTACACTCCGTGAAAGATTGAAAAATCAGTGCGACTGAATAGTTGATGAAACATGGGAGGAAAGTATTCTAGAATCGGGTGACAGTATGAAGAGAACGCGCTCCTAGGTTCGAGGGATAGTCTTGATGAAAGAATGCGAAGACACATGAGTCGCGCGATGGAATTGAAATGAAAAATTCCAGCCGGAAAACGGGGAAAGGAAGATGCAGTGTTTCTTGGAGAAAAGTAAGCGCAGGAACTTTTAGACCGCTTTTGAATCTACTTCCAAATGATCTCCCAACAACCGCAGTGCTCTTGGGAAAAGTTTTACGTCACCATCAAACTTTTTCACTAAGCGATTGTCCTGTGACCCTTGTTTTCTTGACAATAAACTTCAGTTATATTTATAATGCAATATTTACATTAATAATAATAAAATTATTTAATTGTTCAGGAGTCCGTAAAAATAATTGATTAATTATTCGAATCAAATGCACGATGCGTGTACGTATAGGAACATTTGTTACGTCTGAAGAAAACAATACTTCGTGTGCATCACTCTAACAAATTAAATAGACTTTTCAATAGTCTTGATATTTGAGGATCCTTCAGCTAATCTCGAGTGAATTTCGAGAGATCTCTGAATAATCCTTGACGATCAGCGGGAGAGAACGATCACGGACAGTGATCACAGGGAAAGCACGTTTTCTGTCGGACTCTCTGTCGATGGAAAACCGGAAGTCTCGATTCTCGATAGTCGAGTGATCAGTCAAATCACAGGGTAAATCTTGAGAGCTCGTCGAACCGGCGCAGCATGGTAGCAACGGGCTATTTTTGCAGTCGGGATTCTCGACTGTCGGACACCGATGATTAAGTTCCATTTCAATCTGCTGGTGTGAATTCCTTCCCCCGTCGGGAGTTTCGTTGAAATAAAAGTGTTTCTGTGAATCGTGAAGGCATTTTCTGCGAAATATTGATTACCATAAAAATACCGAAAGCTCTAAATTTCGAAGGAACGGAATGCTTGCTAATCGTGGCGGAATTCCCAGTGAAACGCCTGTTAACAAGTAATTCTGGTCGCGTTCCGCGCTCCGTCGTGCTCGATTCTAGTAACGAGAGAACCCAAACCACTTCTCGAAACGCAAACGCACATTGGCGCCAAGTTGCACGCGGCACTTCCGGTTGAGCGAGCGGGCAAGAAGGAGGGACAAAGAGGAAAGGCTCTTCGAACGGGATAGGCAAAGCTACAGCTCTCTGGGATAGGCTCGTGGCGCAAGAGCCATTAATAAGGAGCGCCTAATTTCATGAAAGCCCGGAGCCTCGAACTATTATCTAGGAAACGTAACTCGGTCGAAGAGCGATTAAACGGACGCCACCAAAATACGTCAAGCTGCGGCGGTGTGCGCCTGACAGAAAACCTATAGACGGAACAACCATTAATGAAATGACAAATGTGTTCTTGTCAACGGCATGTGCAGGCGTACGTGCGCCCACGCTCGCTCGCTCGCGCCGCATCGAGTACCAACCAACAACGTTTACAAGCCCGTCGCCGAAAAATAAAATATATATTCGACCGCTTGATTTACGGGACTTCATAGGTATATCGTGGCCCTATCCGCGACGAAAGGCCCCGGATCGATTGATCCCTCTTCCGCGACACCGTCGCGTCACGTCGCGTCGTCGTCTCGCGTTGGAAATTCGTATCGGCGACTTCGCGATCGATTGCCAGCGATAACGTCGACGGATTGCCGAACGCGTGAATTTATAGGTTTCCCGGTCGATGAAAACGTTCCATCGAAAGACTCTGACGGAGAATTTCATATATCGATTAATTTACGAATATCCTCCAGATCTCGCGCAAACGAGAACGATGAAAATATCGGTTCTAACGGACAAGATCGCGTGACGTTCTTGTAGTGATTATGTGAGGGCAATTTTTCTTCTGCCAGATTTCGGCAGGTGGTTTAAAAAAGATTTTACGTATAAATCGTGAACGAGTCATCTTTTATGTGTAATAAAAGATTGAAGAAATTTGAAACTTTTATGCGACTTTTGAAAATTTTGAATATATTGTATTTCCATTTATATAAGAAGAAACCTGAAACAAAATAGATTAACTAGGCAGCTTGACAAGTTCATTCGTGGTGGTTATCGCACGCGAACTGAAACGAACGACCGAAACACGGCCAGCAGGGGTAACTTAATTCAATTTCTTTTCTCTTCCGGTTTCAGGGGAGTTGCCAGCCGCGGTGCACGACGGCAACGGGGTCTCCAGGGCGTTCCTCAACCTGTGGCTAATTCACTTAACGATGAGTTACGTTTTCTCCAGATGACAATACTAAGGTGAGTCAGTTACCGTGTAACGATCCCGTTGAAAGTATCATTCTAAATTAGTTCCTCCCATACTTCTTTCATTTGTTCATTAAAATTCAAATACACAAGATCATATTATTCATTTCTCAACGTCAATTTACAGACTGAGAGATTATTATACAATTATCATATTCAAATCTAACTTTTATCAAGCAATGAATCACTAAATAAATTTATCATCTAATTTATGAAGTAAAATGGAGGAAAAGTATTAGATGTACGTCGTGGTAAACGGTGAATGATTTATTTCGTCAAAAATCGACTGACTCGAAGCGTTTACCGCGAAAGCTCAGGTGCGATTTCAATTTCGGCCGTCGACGAGTTGTTGCCGGAAACTAAATGGAGGATCCAAACCGGATTCCGTCGTTTCACCGACGGAATTCGAATGATACTATTCTGTTCCGAATCGGCGCGAACACCGCACCGCGTCGACGGAAACTTTACGAGAACAGGCTGGCGGTCGCTTAAGATCGGTCGCCAACTGCGATTATTACAATGGTCGCGTTGTAACGTCCTCTTCGGTGATTGCTTCCGAAAGTTTTAACCGTCTGCGTAATGACGTCTCTGCGTTACCTATTATTCAGAATACATTAAAAACTTCTATAAGTATATTCGTGATATTTTAATCACTGGAAATGTACATGTCATTCGATCTTTCAATGATCAATAGAATGAAACAGAGATTTCTCATTTAATTTGTTTATTATAAGGCTTTTATCATATAAAAATCGCAACTCATTCCTCTGTATTTGTATACAGTATAACGTTTGAAATGTAACAGTTTTTCAGTATCGAATTGTTAAATTATCAATGCATCAAAAGAATAATTTTTCTTACTACACATATAGTGCACATACATACATGTTTCGTACAGAACGGTATATTTTAACAGGTTAAAAAGTGGATTTTTTTTAACATTTCAGTAATCGCGTGTTCGGGTTGTTTTTAGCGCTGTGATATACTTTTGTGTGCTATTTTTTACCGTCTGTCTTATTTCCTGCAGTTGTTTTTACCGGTCCACTGTTACTCTGTTTTTCGAGTTGCTTTTTTCTTTTGTTCGCTGCTCCTTTTTTAAAACGAGTAGGTTTGTTTGCGATTGGGACCAGTTTGCTATCGTCTTTCTTCCTTAGTTCTGTCAACTTTCCACTCCTTCCCCACTTTTATTCTCCCTTCAGTTTTTTTGCCCACCGTGCTTTTTTTAGCCGATCTTCCCGAGATTTAAGGTTCCCTTTGCGACTCCGTTTCCGCTTTACCCTTTTGCATCTTTGTTTTTATCTGTTCCCAGAGCTTCCCTCCTATTTTCACCTCTTTCTAGCCTGTTTTATGGCCTTCCTTCTCGGCTCACTTTCTGCTCCACGCAGGCCGCTTCCTCTTTATCCTTAACGCACCAGATTCTCTACACTGAACTTCCTCCGGATTCTCTATCTGTTCCCGTATTTGTACAGTCGCACTTTGTTTCATCAGGTTTCATATTGTTTTTTTATTCACAAGATCCACCGTGACAAAATATTAATCAACATCCTATCGATTTCTTTATATCGATTTACGTACGCTTTTTTTGGAGCGCCCTGATCCGAGTTTCAGATGAGTTTTCAAAGCCCTGGCTGAAAGGCTTATCGACTCGTAAGAAAGTTAGGCCAAGTCCCGTGCTTCGGCTTCGAGCCCTTGGAAACTGAAAGCATATGGTGATATTCTAATGAAAATTGTTCCTTATTTCTATTATATCCTTATTATAGTATATCTACCTTATAACTGGATTATAGATTTTTGTATAAAATGAAACTTTATAATATGAATTCGAAAAATGAGATTCGGGTAAAAATTTTTTTATCATGTAACGCTTGCTACGTGCACTCAGCTTCTGATATTGCATGTACTTTTAAGTACTACTTATAACATCTTTTATACTTTCTACGCGTTCAATTTTCTTATTGCTGTCCAAACTAAAATTATAAACCCATCTGAATCGGTCATGAAAATAGAATCCATTTAATTGGATTTTACACGAGTTTGCATCCCAGCGAGCTGCTGGTATAAATAGAACGAAAATCTGGCTACGTATTGCTCACGTGAACTATTTTATCGTACTGAGTTAATAGAGTTACAATGACTGTTGATAATAGAGAATAATTAGGATTTTGTCTGCGGACATAAAACGGAACAAAGTACTAAAAGCAGTTTTGATAACGATCCCCAAATTTTAAATTATCGTGTTTTACAATAATTTTAATTTCTTCATCAACCAGAAATTACACCTATTAATTTATCAATTAGCAAAATTTTGAATTTGATATGTTCTTTACTGGAGAGAAAAGGTATAATAGTGCAATATCCGATTTTTGAGCGGAACTAACAAAGAACAGTCGGGCGGAATTCCCAAGGCAAATAAATCACCGCGATATCGAAGCGTGCCCTCTTTCTAGGAACGGGTACCGGAAATTGCCTCCGATTCCCTGTATAAACTCGTGAACAAAATAGAAAACGAGTCGATTCGTCCGGTATATTCGTAATTGCAGTCGGTTATCCTTACCCAGGCTGATTCCATTCTCAGTTTCCGGCTCGAACTCGACGAGCGTTCGCCATTCTCAACGAACACATATCGTGTGCCTACGAATCCATTGGATCAACCGATATTCATGATTCAAGGTTTTATCGATGAGGTCCTAGTATTGTGAGAGATATAATTCCTAGAGAAGGAAGCTGGGGGTACCGCGTGACGTGTACACCGGAAACTATAGTTTATACGGCGAACAGCGGTATCTCACCTTCCGTGCTTTCATTATCAGTTACCATAGATCACGGCGTGCGGGTACCATCGGATGACGGCACATCCGTTCATCCTTCATCGCCTGATGACGATCCCGCGTGTTCCGTGTATCGATATCATTCGCGTGGAAGGCATAAATTAGTAGACGTTCGCCAACCGAGAATTCATTCTTCTTTCCTGCTTCTTTGATACAATTAAACGAGTATATGTCAGTTTACTTGGTGAAACTGAAATATTATTATACAGGGTGAGGCACTAACTGTTGCCACCTAAAATAACTCCGAAAGTATGATAGCAGTAGAAAAGTTTTCGAAACAGAAGTTAAATGGGACAACAGGATTTGTAGTACGACGTTAATTTTTTGTTGCTAGGTGGAGTCGCTTCAGAGAAATGTAGGCCCCCTTTGTTTTTTTAAATAGAATGTGGTATTTCTTTATAGATTAAACGATGCAACTAAACATTCTTTATAAAACAGTACTGACTTATGTATCCAAAAAAGCTGATAATTCAAAAGATATTTCAATTTAAATAATTATAAAATTCATAGTAGACAACTTTTCTACTACTATCATATTTTTGGAGTTATTCTAGGAGGCAATAGTTAGTGCCTCACTCTGTATACTAGTGAAGGAATGGGAAAAATTTAGTTAGTGTACAATGCTCACGATAGGTTTAACGTCGACGTTTTTTAAAAGTTGTTGTATCAAAGTTACACGTGCTTTCGCACGTGCAATAAATTCTGGTATGTTAAATATTGAAGTAGGGGGTTACAACATGCAGCTATCTGTTCTTAATATTTGCGTAGAGTCGCGATTGTAATCTGATTAAAAGCACCGTAACTAACGAGATCAGGACTAGGGTAGAGTAAGGGAAAGGCACCATGGGTCAGCTTTAATATCCAGCTCAGCACGCTGCGTGCTCGAAACAGGAATGCGGAGGAGCGCCAATTCGCACCGTAAATAGTTTAACAACTGTGATTCATTAGTTTAATCCAATTACCGAGCTACCTATGAACCGGTTTCAAGGAGAATTCATAAATTTCCATAGCTCGCCGTCGATCCTTAATCCACCCAACCTCGTTTAAAACTTAGTTTCATTTTTCGTTTCATACTTAACTAGGAACTACTCACATTTGTATTGCCAATGCGCAGTGTCGCTAATAGACTTGAAGAAAATGGGGCAAACTTTGTCTTTCGTCGTTAATATCCAGCGTGGTCTATAAATATAGATCCCAGCGAGAAACCAAAACTGGAAACTCGATTCAGAAGTTCGACTCCAATTTTAACGCGATTACGAGACGAGACAAACGACGCGACAGCGAATGGCGAATGACAGGCCAGCCTTTTACGGTAACCTCGTTTTCTACAGTCAATTTGTCATAATCCTGATAAAAGGAGCTGAATGAGTTTGTCAATTAGCACGGGGCAGAATGCCAATTACTCGTTAGAAAACTACGCAAAGCCGATTCCTCGTTAAATCTTGTGGTTGGCCCGTTTTTCCCGGATCGAATTCGTCGGCGGGAATCAGAATCCACGATTAGATAAGACATCTCGGGATTTCCAAATTTATTTACCCAACCACGCATTCCTAAAATTATCTTTTTATAATTGATTACGAGTTTTATGCATTCGTAGAAGAACTGGATATGTAAGTTCGAAATGTGTTTAAAAAATGTGCAAATCATCAAAAATATACACTTGTTATTGTCTGAAGGATACGAGACGAGACAAACGACGCGACAGCGAATGGCGAATGACAGGCCAGCCTTTTACGGTAACCTCGTTTTCTACAGTCAATTTGTCATAATCCTGATAAAAGGAGCTGAATGAGTTTGTCAATTAGCACGGGGCAGAATGCCAATTACTCGTTAGAAAACTACGCAAAGCCGATTCCTCGTTAAATCTTGTGGTTGGCCCGTTTTTCCCGGATCGAATTCGTCGGCGGGAATCAGAATCCACGATTAGATAAGACATCTCGGGATTTCCAAATTTATTTACCCAACCACGCATTCCTAAAATTATCTTTTTATAATTGATTACGAGTTTTATGCATTCGTAGAAGAACTGGATATGTAAGTTCGAAATGTGTTTAAAAAATGTGCAAATCATCAAAAATATAACACTTGTTATTGTCTGAAGGGTACAAGAAATCTCAAGCTAGATTCCATGTTCTAAATTAAATGAATAAATTATAAAATAACAAT